TTAATCAAGGCCCACTTCTGTTCAAACTGGGAGATGGGGCAAACTTTCCATCTTATACCCTCTGACCACCCCGCACTCTGAAGTCCTGATCTCCAGCTGCTGTTCCAAGCACTTTTCTTCCCAGTCTGCTATGTGCAAGTCCCATATATAATAGCTTGTTCTGTTCTTGCTTAGAAAGATCAGTCCCCAAAGATTGTTTCTACCCCAGCAAGCAGCATGTCCCAACCAATTACCGCTCTCCATCTTTTATTTTAACATCTTGGCAATAACTCACTGCAAAGCAGAATATCCTATCATTTTGCAGAGGGGAGATCTAAAGCCTAAAAAAGTAAAGGAAGCTGCCTAAAGATGTGAGAAAAACCAGTGAAGAATTGGCGTAGAGCCCCAGACTGTCTCCCAGCCACTGGACAGTCTCTGCGGACACAGGTCTCGCTACTCGCCGTGTTGTTCTCTGGCCCTTTGGGGTTTTCAGCTCCTTTCCCAGGGCTGAGCTTTCACATCCTGAACCTTGCAGTTCGTTTCCCACCTACCCTCCTCTTTTTGGCCTAGGGCTTCACTCCTCTCCTAGGGTATAGTAGTATATGAGAGGCAGTGAGGTGGGGAGGAACATTCTGGGCATGAGGTATTCCTGGTTTCTCCTTCCGCTATCTGTCATAGAGACCCTGGAGCATTCTCCCCCCGCAAAAATACCCTTTCAAGTAGAAAATGACCCTTACTGCCCTTACCAAAAAATCTGTTACAATGACACCTTCAACCCAGGATCAGCTTCCCCCAGGATATTGCACTTTTCCTCCCTCATAAGTGACCAAACAATGTATGTAAGGTGCTGGAGAGCCACTTTGAGCACTGGCTGATGGTCTGTTTTCCCTTCATCAGTGTTCTGGTATTTTGCTAGGTCTGGAAGGGCTCTCTGTCGAGCGCTGTCACTTAGCAGTCTTTGCTCTTTGTAGCTGTTGGAAACATTCACAGATTCCTTTTTTTCCTCTGTGAATGGGTGGTGGGTGGAAAGGAGTCACTGCCTGGTTGAAGATGGCAGCTGATGAGCATGTCAGCACCTTGCCTAATTCCTCACCGGCTTCCCTTTGTCGCCAAGGCGTGCAGTTCATTCCTCAGAGCAGTGAGTTTATGCACTGACTCACAAGGATTAATTAAAACCTGAATTGCCATTTTGTGTGATGACAGGAAAGGCCCCCACAACAATAAATCTGCTCAGAAGATGGACCTGACGGGAACTGCTGGGAAAGGCTGCTCTCAGATCAAACCGATAGCGCTGTTCCCGTTGTGTTGTTCAGTTCCCTCTCGATGCTTCGCAGTGGCCCACACACAGACGCTGCCAGCACAGGACAAATGTCTCAGCACTTAGCCTTTATTTAAAGCCCTCTCATGTCCTCTGAAGCTGGCTGAAAAAGTCGAAGTCCTGTGCACTCCAACCATTTCTCTCTCCCTCTCTCTCTCTCTCTCAATTTTTTTTTTTTAGGGCTTTCCAGGAGACATTGGCCCACCAGGAGAAAATGGCCCTGAAGGCCTAAAGGTGAGTAGAGCAAAAACTGAAACTCTGTATGGGATGGGAACCAGCCAGGGAAAACAAAGCAGTGGGAAGGGGAGAGAGAAAAAGCCCTGGAGATTCCTGAGGATTGTCCTGGCCAGCATTTCAGCTTGGTCTGTTTGGCTTGAGGTCCCTCCAAGAGTGGGATTTTCTTTTTTTCAATTTTTTTCTCTAACAAAATTGACATTGGATGGTGTTCCATGGCTGTGAAAGAGACTTTCTCATTTTAATGGCCCTTCTGAGCTTATGTTTCTATTTTCTGAGTATCTTTTCCTCTGGCTCTTTCTCAGGGGAAGCCGGGAGCACGAGGTTTACCTGGGCCGAGAGGACTGCCTGGACAAGAGGTGAGTGTCCTCAGGGCTCTTAGGACCAAAAGCAGATCTAACTAGAATAATTATGGATAATGGATAATGATGGATTTTGAAGATTAATCCCTACTGAAATGGTGCCTGCAGAAGAGGAGCTTCCACTAAGTTGCAGTCCCATGATATCTGCTTCCAGTAACTGTTGACCCAAAACCCTGCACTGACTTTTCTTTTAAAGCCTCTTCCCCCGCACCCACACACACCCTGAATGCATGGTAATACCCCTTTCCCTGCACATCCCTTTGCACAGACGTGCCCTGACCTGGCTTTTGCTTTCTGCTCCTTTAAAATGTTTCTTCTTTCAACTGTGAGACCTTCAAACTGTGATGTCTCACACAGAGCAATATCCTTTTTGTAAAAGAAGTGCATAAATGGAAATTGCTGTTCTGCAAAGATTTGTTTGCCCAGCATCTCAGTGTTTACAGTTTTCACCTTTAGATGCATACCAAAACTTGAAGTTTCATTCCACTCACGGTCTCTACAAAGCAACAGCTGTCATTGAATTAATTGTCCTGGAGCTGTGAATACTTTATAGCAGCAGCAGAGAAGGCCTGAGCACCTTCGTCTTTATCTTGTTGTAAATCTAGTGACTTCAGTGAAGTTTCTTCTCATTTAGGCCAGTGTAAGTTGTTTCTCAAGAGTCATAAGGCGCTGTGCAAATAATATTGAGTGCACACATGGACAAGAGCACTGTCTAATAGCAATAGTAATCCTTAATGTTTTCTGTGAATTCTTTTGTTTGCTCTCTAAATAGGATTAATGCAGATTAGCTCATTTATTTGCACTGAAATTAGGGAAAAAATATTCTAGGCATTTTACAAAGAGGGAGTCAAAGCCTTGCATTCCATTTACAGGCCCGCATGACCAAGCTGCCTTTAACTTACTCTAGTTGGCTAGTTTAGCAGTAAGAGTTGAATGGACTATACTGCTATACCTTCACTGCTGCTGTTAACCGGAGTGGCTGAGTCAAGGCTGTGAATTACACCTTCTTGAAGAACGTGGACATGTTTTGGGTGGTTTATCTGAGCCCATATAGTGGGTTCCTGTTCAAAACATTGCTATATTTTGAACACATTGACTTCCAGTACTGTCTTCAGCCCACTAGCTCATGGCATTTCATTGCCACCACTGACCACCTAACCCAGAGCAGCTAGAACTGTGGCTGCCAAGGGTACTTAATTTCTCTCTTGGTGGTAGGTTTTAGACATTTGAGATGATTTGGGGGTAGCTTAACTGAAGATCTCCTGGAAACTGTAGGTCTGATCCTATCATATTAAAAATTGCTGTATAGCCAAGGGAGAGGACCCAGTCCAACTGCTGTGTGAGATTTTGGGATATCTCCGTCCTGCAGCATGCCTGGTTCCATTTGAAAGCAAAAGGAAAACTTGATACAGTTGCCAAATGTTCCATGGGAATTTTACAACACCCTTTTTGTGGGGGTTAAAAATAAAAAAAGGCACACAGAGCTCTGCAGCGTTTGCATCCTCTGTCAAATCAAACAAAGCAGAATCCCATGAGCATGTCAAGTGCATCCCTGGGCCAAACCCAGCCCTTGATAAGCCCACCCAACTGGTGTTGGCTTCAGTAGAATTTCATGTGGCCTATACTGGCAGGACTCAGCTTTGGGGTTTATTCCTGAGGTGAAGAAGGAAGATGAGGAGCCTCAGGGAGTACCCAAAGGAGCATTTTGCTGAGCCTGCCCTACAATTTGGAAGGACTCAGTTATTAAGATGTGACAGCTGAGCGCACAGCGTGTGTTCACCTGCTGGCCAGACCGCAGACCTTCCATTTTTGCTGTGTTGTGAGTCTGAACTTTGTCACTATTTTGCCCTTTATTTTAATTTCTTTTCACCTCAGGGAGATGAAGGACCCTTAGGACCACCAGGAGTCCCTGGTCCAGAGGTAGGTTTCACTCATTTTAAGTGGTTTGATCTATTACTGGCAACTCCACTGACCTTGCAAAAGAATTAAAATAACATAAAGCCTCAAACCTTCTGGTTTGGAAAGAGATCTCCCCTGCTAAGATGTATTGTTTTGTCCAGGGCTCGGTCCAACTGCTTGATAAAGGATAGCTGAGAGTCAAGGAAGAGTCTTCACCAGGGTGTTGAGCGGGACTGTGGTTTTATAACGTGCTAATGTTGAGCAGGTAGAAGACCTTGATTAAAAGTCTCAGACCCCGAAGAACCGTATAACTTTTGAATAGTTCATACTCAAGATAAGGCACTTTGGCTGGAAACCGTCTCTGTAACTAGCCCCAATATTTAGTTCGTTGATTTATAGTGTCTTTTCAGTGAGAACAGGAAAATACCGATTTGAAGGGAGGAAAAGCAAGAAAAAAGACAGGACTGTGAATCAGAGTCCTTTCTGTCTCTGCATCGCTTAGAACATAGTGACGTATCACAGAAACACGGTGAGGAGAAGCAAAAGGAATGTTACTGCATCTACGAGCTTGCCAGCTCGGGGTTTTATGGTGGTTATGTACATAATTACCACTGTAAGATAGTAAAATATCTTGCAATTTGGTAATTGTGACAAGAGCTTCTAAATGGATCAGGAAGGATATATTTTATCTTGCATTGCCTCGCTATGTTTCAGTGGGTGCTTTTATTGCTTTCTGGAGAAGCATGACAAGTCCAGTTACTTCAGTGCCTGGACCAACACCGGAAATATCCTTCCAACCAGAGGGAATATGGACTTTTTGGTCTGCAGGTTTCCTCTTGCTTTGCTCAGCAGTAGGTGTGAATGTCAGCCTGGCTTCCTCCTACTGCAGGGACACTCCTCTTCCCCAGTCCTCTCTGGATGCCAGGGATGGAGCCCATAAAGAGCTCACATGGCTCAGTCTCAGCCCTCACTAGCAAAGCATCAACTTCAGATACTCAGGTTGCTGGTGTCCTTACTGGCATAGCTACAAGAAAGCTACTGTAAGTAGAAGAAATTGGGCTGAATGCAGCATATAATTATCTAGAGGGCAGCGACAAAGCCCTTGACTTGGTTGATTATAGTCTGTGCATAATGTTACTGATGCAATACTTAAGTAATGGAATCTCGTTGGAAGGGCAGAAATGGGCTTATCCTTGCAGTAGCTGTCTAGACACGTTCCCCATGGATCAAACTGAGTGCTACTTGAGAAACAGTGCTTTCCTCTTGGATTGCCTCGGCATCAGTGAGGATTGCTCCACCTTTAGTGCCCTGGATTCACTGGGAGTGTTGCTTGAAAGCAGCACCTTGTTATATGGATTTACAGACACACTGCCGTGAACAAGGGCAGCTGCAACAGTTATTACTTAATTCTTATAATTATTGTTCTGTGTATTTCAGGGTCGACCTGGCCGGAAAGGGTTTCCAGGAAGACCTGGTCCTGATGGTCCAAAGGTGAGGAAAGGGTTTGTTCATGATGAGAGAAGTAGTTGGTGGAAGGCAGAAGAGGGAAAGGGAAGCCTCTTTTCTCAGCTTTAACATACTCTGAGCCTACGGTGTTCGACAGAACAGGGGCTACTGAGGATTTCTCTGAATTCTGAGGTCTTGGCCCCTGCTTGGTTTCTTCAGCAAAAAGAATGACAGGGCAATTCTTTTAAGCCATGTGCTTTATTATAAACAAGTGTGTTGCCTCCTTTGATATTAACCACCCCCCCATCATCTCATCTTTTTTTCCATTGCTTCTCCACGGTTTTGTTCTAAAACAATGCACATCATTCCTATCTTTGCTGCCTAATTAGCAGCAGGAGCCATCCCAGGGCAGCCCAATCCATAAACCCACACTCAAAAGGAAAGAGAAAAAACAACAAAAACAAGCTCTTCAAACAGTAAATAACAAAAATGTGGTCTGGCAGCACATCTGGAGTATGTGCCTACTGAGAAAATACAGCTGCTGTCACCCAGAGACAATACTGATTAGCAGTGACTCTGGCTTCCAGATACTGGGGTACTCCACCAGCCTTCAAGTACTGCCACAGATTGCCCTTATCCCTAGTAGCTTTGAAATTCTCCTCGTCCCGCTTTTCTCTCCCCCCTCATTTTTCTCATCTCTGAATTTCTCTGATCCTGCACTGTGATTTAGCTTATGTGGGTTGTTCCTGTGGTTTTCATGTGGATGCTGCATGTGAGCAGTAAAGTGCATATGCTTGAGATTTTGCAAGAGCAGAATCAGAGGGCAGCATTGCCTGGTAACTTGGGTTGCCCTTTATGCCTGTGATCCTTGCACTGCAGGTGAATCCGCTGGAGCCCTTCTGCTTTGTCATTCAGTAACTACACCACCCCATGGTTTCCACACTCTTGTTTCCTCTAGATGCTCCTCAGATCCTTTGTTTAAGCATAATCCTTTCCTATTCTCTTCCTGCGGATGATTTGTTTCTGTCTTCTGTGTCTGTTTTGCTCGTTCTTTCAGATAGAAATATTACAGGGCAGAAACCCCAGCTCCAGGAACATCCCTGATGAGAACTCATGCCTTACTAGATGGGGGAATAAACCAACCAGGACTAGGCTGTGCCACCGGAAATCACGCAGCTTATATTTCAATATCCGAGTTTGGCTTTGTGTAGGTTATTTCACCACAGCAGGACCTGTTGCTTTTCAGGGCATTTCACTCCAGAACAGTGAGTGTTTGCTCCATGTCTGTGTCAGCTATGGTTCTTGCTTTGAATTATTTTTCTAGTCACACTGGGTTTTGTAAGAGGTTGTTTCTTGCTGTTCTTCCACAATTCACATGAAGGCAGCCCAAGTAATGGGTCTGCAAAGATCCGGGGGGGCTTTAACCTGAAAAGTCTTGCTGATGCACCTCCCGAGTGCAGCTTACCTGCGCCTGGATAAACCACAAAACTGTTCATGTCATGAACGCCGTCCTGCTGTCCTGAAGGTCTGACTGGGAGCAGTGGGTAACCAGGGTACCATCTCTCTCCTTGTCATGCAGGGTGAGCCAGGAAACCGTGGCCGACCGGGGAAAGTTGGCGAACAGGTAAACTCCTTGTTTTCTTTCTCTGTTTGATGATCTTGTGTGTATGCCTTCCCCTGGGAGCCCAGGGTGCAGGCCGAGGACAGTGACGGGGTGTTTTTGGCCACTTCAGACCTGTCAGCGTCCCGGCGTTCCAGCTCTGATGTAGGAAACGTTTCCCTGAGTTCCACTGAAGCTCCCAGTGAGTAGCACTGGCAGTGGCCTTGACGTCTATTTGAAACTGGAGGTTTTCTCATAGGCAGAGTGTTCTGATAAAGTCACAGCTGACTGATGTGCTGTCAGTATTGGCAGTATTATAACACTTACAACCTGGTGTGCTTTATCAAGTGGTTAAATTGTCAAGGAGGCAAAGTCATTGTAGTGAAAGAGATTATGGATTTTTGTGTTTTCCTCTTATTCTTAAAGGGCAATTTCCAGGCTTTGTCCACCTAGGTTTTGAGGGCAGGGCTCTCTGCTTTGAGGTGTTAAACGCCTTTTGGCCCCCACTGGATTTTGTGGGAACAGAGGAGACAGCAGCCAAAAGAACCAGGCCCTGGGGGAGGGAGACACTGAGCCACGTTTTGTTGTACTGCAAGAGAGAATATTCTGCCTGGGGAGCAGAGGATGTGCCTTGCCTTGAAGGCTTCGGGGGAACCACAGACACAGGGAAAAAGAAACAATTGCTTCATGTCTCTGTGATTGAAACAAACCACCTCATCCACCACCAACCCTGAAATTGCAGCCACGGAGCCTCTGACACGTTCTCTGCGTTCCTGTATGACCACACCAAGCTGGATGCAGCAGCTGCTTCTGGCAAGGGGGTGTTGCTTCTCAGCACAGCTATGCTTCCCAGCGCTGTCCCTGCCTGATGGTCAACAAGTTTGGTTAGGTTTGGTCAGCTTGCCAGCCCCTCTGGATCTTCATTCCCTTGTATCCAGCCCCCGGGGCATGCCGTGTCTCACAGGTTTCTGACCAAATGTGTCCAAGAAGCCAGGATGGATCATTTTCAGTACCAGCAACCTGATGGGCCTTAATGTGAATCAAAGATGGTCATTTCTCTTGGGGAATTAGAGCCATTTCCTAATTACAGTTAATAATTTACTCCAGGAAGAGCAACAACTGAAGATGCAAAGTTGCTGCAGACATCTGAGGTCAGGGCCTGAGTTCTCTTTGCAGCTCTGTCACCTTCTGCATGCCCTGGGGCAGCACCTTCCAGTGCTCTGTGCCTCAGGTCCCCTTCTGCAGAGCATGCACAGCAGAGCTGCTCTCCCAGGCAGGGCCCGACGAGATGAGAAATTCTGCTGGCAGGGAGCACCTCGCTCTGAACAGCGCTTAGTAGGACACCTCCTGATCTTGGACAGTACCTACAGACAGTGTTGCACTACAGTTAACAATGATTGTTTAGAAGTGCTTTCAGATGCTTAACAAGAAGTTACCATTGAAGGACAAAGCACCAGTACGATTATTATTCTTTAACGTCCCTCAGGACTGACCTTGGATGAAAACTGTAGGCACTGTTCATCGAAAAGAAAACACAGCTGGCCTCCGCTGACACTGAAACCAGCACAGTGGTATGAAAGCTGCCTGTATTATTTTTAGTCAATTAGTCTCTGTCTAGAAATATCACCCAGAAAGAATTTCCATTTCCGTACCAGTTAAGTCATTAGAACAAAAATGTTGCACCAGGTTAGTGGGAAATAACCTCCTTTCCAATCACACCTTTGCAGAACAATGCTGGAGTGTTAGGATTTAATTCCTCCCTCTACCTACATCAGCATTTGGTGCTGGGGCTGGGCTGTTTTTTTGCAGAGCTCTGGGAGGTCAGGCTAACAAGGTCACTCAGTGCTGAAAGACTGACCTTCACCTCCATCCCTTTTTTCTCTTTGGGACACCTAGATGCTTTCTATTCTGTAGGCACAAAATGAGTGATACAACTTTTCCAACTTGATGATCTGCCCTTTCATTTGAGTTCCCTCTGACTGGAAACCCTCAGCATAAACAGCTGAAAAGAGATCACCCATCCATTTCATTGGAGCTCTCTTTCCCCTTTCTTATGGACATCTGTTTAGGCAAACATGGGAGTTTTGAAAGGTTTCCAGTGATACTTGAGCTGTCACTGGGAAGACAGAGTTTTTAAGCCACAGGGCAGCCCCTGATGCATTGTTTTTCCATTGCAAAGACACTGACTCAGGAAATTCATTCATAAGATGCTTGTTGTCTTCAAATGCTGGAAGGACTCCAGCTGCTGGGCTCCCCTGTACCCTGGAAATGTGTGATTTAACCCTTCCTTGCCAGTAGATGGAAGCAGAAGAATATGATGAAGAGCACAGCGCCTCCAGCCCAGGCCACCAGCCTTCCTGTTGCGAAGCTGGGAACACAGAGCAGGAGGATGTTGCCTCTTTGTCTGTACCGGAGGCTCAGGCTGCACTGCAGGAGAGGAAACACCCTGCTGAAGACAGAATAGGATACTGGGGACAGGGGCCACAAGCCCAGAGACCCCCCACCTGCTCTGCGCTAGAGGCTGAAAAGACCAGTGACAGGCTGTGCCAGCTGAAAGAGGTTGAGGT